TATTATTATATATAGCAAAACTAGATTTCAAAACTAATTTTAAACAAGAATATTCAATTCTTTATCTCTTTACACTTCGTAATGAGAGAAGAGATACGAAAGTGAGGTACGACAAAAATATTGGAATTCTCTTTAACGTTTACAAAGTGAGATCCAATAGTAATAATAGTAATACATCTATGCAGAATATATTTATAATCTGAAATTTTATTGAACAAAACATCGAAATATCTTTCGTATTGATCTGCTACATTTCTGAAGCCTATATTCCTTTAACTTAACTGCCTTGCCGCTAGACTTGTGCCAGATGCTATTGCTTGGTAATAGATATATGTATATAGATAGATAGAAGTGCTGGTAGTCAACTCGAAAGCGCTGCGGGCTTAGCTTAAATTATCATTATTAGATAGTATCGTATGTGGGCATGCAGTTCCATTGGCCACTCACCTGGCTGGATGGCGTTTCCAATTATGGCGCGCGCATTCTTCAACTTACGCTCGCGCTCTTCGGCCGTCGGCTCGCTAACGCCGATGGTCTCGGTTTGGGCGCAGAGCTGGTCCAGTTCCTTGTTGGACTCGTTCTGCGCCTGTCGCAGCAGCGCAATCGAGTTCTCCATGGAGCGACGCGCCTCTTCCAGCGATATCGAGGCCACCGAGTTCTTGGAGTCGCTGCCCTCCAGAGCGCCACTCACCACCGGCGAAGCTGGCGGTGTGCCCAAGGCCTCCTGCGCCTCGGCCTCTTGAGCCGCAGCCGCAGCGGCGGCCACCTGCTCCTGGGCGCGACGCTCGCCCGGCGTGGGCCCAGTCATTGGCGTCGGATTTGTGGCCTTGCGCTCGAACTCCTTTTTGAAGCTGCCCACACTCACGCCGGGTATGCTCAGCTTCTTGGGCTTTTCCGGCGCCACAGTGGTCGGCGGCGGCTGAAACTTTTCAGCTGTTTCCAGAATGCGCGACTTGCGACGCTCCGCATTGAACTTGTTGAGTGTGGACTCATCCTGCAGGCTGCACTTGCGCACGAACGGCGCAGCCGGCGGCTGTGTCTGTGGAGCAGCAGTGCCGCTGGGCGTGGCCTTGCCGCTGGCACTCTCATTGATGGCATTCACCAAGTCGGCGGTCTTGTGTTTGTTCACAAACTTCTTAATCACTTTGGTGGCGTCCTTCTCCTCGGGTGCTTCCACTACAGCATCCAGTTTGGCACGTGTTGGCTGTCGCGGCACAGCATTGGCGGGTGGTGCAGCGGGCTCTCCAATGAGCTGCTCGCACAGATTGCCAACCTTCTGCATGTCCTGCGGGGAGTAGCCGGGCGCCGAGTTCGACGCTGGCTGCTCGTCGGCGGGCGCAACGCTCTCAGTCTCCATGGGCTGGGGCGCCGTCAAGGGTGTGGTGGCGGCTTGTGCGAGCGGTGCTGTGGTTGTTGGTGGTGCGAGCGATGGCACTGTTGCTTCGCTGATGACGAACGAACTGTTGGCCGGCTTCTCCTTCTTCTTGGCCGTGGTGCCAGCGGCGTTCTCCGTAGACACCGTCGGCTGCAGCTTGCGTTTGGCCTGCACCGGACTCTGGGCGGGTGTAATGGTGCGTGTGGGTGATGGCATTAGGGCAGCCTCGCCGCCAGCTAGGAAAGCGTGGAAAGAGGAGAGATCGAGAGAGAGAGAGAGAGTGAAAGGGAGGCGTGGTTTAATGAGAGTGGTTAAATGATTTGATTTCAAGTTGTTTAGTGCACTTGAGTGTGTGATCCATTTCGATCGTTAGGCGGGCCGAGGAGTGGGAGCAGGTAGACCGCATGAGCAGCAGTTAGTTGGGTGGTGGGCAGGACACATTGTTGTGTATGCCAAGTTAGTTCACAGCACTTTACAATATATATATATACAAAATTGTGTGCGGAGGAGCTCTAGGGTCTTCTTATGGTCTTTACAAGCATGACACGTATTTCAGATTCGATGTGCATCAACTCACCAGCAACCATGTCCAGGATGCGACGCTCTGCCTCCGTGCTGGGCGCCCCCATATCACGTATGGAGCCCACTGAATGCGAGCGTTGAACGCGCTCATTCCCGGCTGCCTTGGCGGCGGCTGCTGCGGCCGCCGAGCTCTCCGCCGATGGCACAACCAGTTGATCCGCTGTGATGGCAGCCGGGGTCAGCGATAGCAGAACGTCGAGACGCACTGGCGTCTGATTCGCCAAATCCTCGGCCAAATCCAGGCATGACACATTGTCGTTCTCGTTCACCCACCAATGCGAGCATATCTGCTCGATGGTGGCTCGCTTCTGCGGACTAACCGTCAGCATGTCCCGAATGAGCGTGGATGCACGCACAGGCTGTCGCGGCTCATAGTAGTCGCCCTGGCTGATCTGTTTCACTAGCTTCTTAAAGTTTGAGCCATCAAACGGCATGGAGCCGTAGACTAGAGTATAGAGCAGTACGCCCAAGGACCAGCAGTCCACCTCCGGTCCCTGGTACGGTGTGCCCTCCACGATTTCTGGCGAGGCATACAACGGTGAGCCGCAGAAGGTGCCTAGCAGGCGCTGATCGTCAAAGACATTAGACAGACCAAAGTCGGCAATCTGTTGAAGAATTTAGAAGAGAGAGAGAGTCAGTAAGTGATTGAGTAAGAGAGTGAGAGGAAACATTGTAGAGAGAGCGAGAAGGAGGGAAATAGAGTGAGGTAGATAGATAGAAACAAAGAGAAAGAGAGAGAACGACAGAAGGAAAGAAATAAAGAAATAGGGAGGCAGACAGAGAGAGCGACAGAGTGAGAAAATGATCAATCACATCTATTAATGTCTACAGAAATAAATCTAAAGTATATCTAATTAGAGCTTTGAAATCATTATTACCAGTTCATTGTTCATTTACAACTATCATTCTATTTTATAAAAATCTGTATAATGAAGTAACCGTATAATGATAGTTAAAACTTGAAAAATTTATATATATATTACTACTTCACAGCTTATAGTCCTAATAAAGTTTTTTTTTTTTTTTTTACATAATTACCAAATATAGCTTATCTAAAATTTGATCAATTTCTGTATTCTTAATGAGGAATAAAGTTCGAAAATTTCTTTAAATCGTACAGCCTATGCTCTAATATAATATAGTTTCAAGAAATGTACTCTACCTTCGCATTGCCATGCTCATCGAGCAATATATTTTCCAGCTTTAAGTCGCGATGGCAAATTTTGTGTTTGTGACAATAGTATACGGCCGTAGCCACCTGACGGAAGATGCGGCGCGCCTCCTCCTCGCTGAGCACCTTGCGCTCGGACAGGTAGTCGTATAGCTCACCGCCAGCGGCAAACTCCATGACTAGCACCATTTTCTCGCGGTTCTCGAATACTGCAAGAGAGTAATTACAGAATGAGCTTGGGCGATTCACTTGGGAGCAGACGAGCGCGTACCTTCGTAGATGTGTATTATGTTGGGATGCTGCACTGAGCTCATGATTTGCACCTCCCGTCGAATGCGCACCAGGTCCGCCTCGGCTTCAATTTTGCATTTCTTTATGGTTTTAATTGCCACCTCCTGGCCCGTTTCCTTATTAATACCGAGCTGTACCTTGCCGTAAGTGCCTTGACCTAATTTCTTAATAATATCAAATCTGCAAGCAAGGCGAGAGTTACTCGAGAGCAATACGAATTGGGAACGACCACGGAACTTACCTTTGTCGCAGCTTTTTGCGATGATTGTTCATTTTGACATTCCCCGTATGGGCGATGCCGCTCATAATATTGTCTATTTGATCCTGTGGTATGCCCGACCGATGTGCCATGCTGTTTGCGCCCGCATCCAGACCAGCCGCGGCGGCATCAGCAGCACTCGCCGCCGTCCCATTGGGCGTCGAGTCGGGTTTGCTTATCACCATGGCTATGACTGTGGTTGTGGTGGTGGTGGTGGTGGTGGTGCCTGTGTCTGTGAATGTTGCTGTGTCTGTTGTCGAGGCCAATTACTGCAAAGAGGATACAGGGAAAGGATGCACGTTAGTAAATAGTTCACTAGCTCCAAGAGCAAATATGCACACACACACACACACACACACACACACGTAGACCACGGCACTCATCCATCAAACGTTCAATCAAATGGGCAATCAATTAATTATCCACGATGCGCGACAGCCACTCATTGAAATGCTGACGACCCAGCCCAAGATGAAACTAGTGCAGTGCCTCTGCAGCGATGCAAAGCTTTTCAGGGCCGCACTCGACCTACATAGTTCGTAATTATGCTCACAGCAGGCAACAAAATGCGCCGAGCCACCGAGCACATTTCTAATATGCTTAAAGTTCAAGTATTAGGGTTATACAAATCAGATTTAATATATATGAATTGTAGTCTGAAAATTTAAATCCCACAGATTAGGGGAGAACTTTTGAAAATTCGCTAGAGAATGTGATACTAAGACTATACAGTTACAATATAAAATATCTACAATATAATTAAGGCTTAGGAAAAATACAGCAGACACTTTATGTACATAATTTAGTTTTCGAGTTGAAAAAAGTATCAGACAAGTTCTACTGATACCTAGTAAATTTCAGTTAATTAAACTTGTAATTTTCATACATATATAGTAAACCCTAATAGATTGCCGAAATTCCTGTTTGCTGAGGCCTTGTATGACCTTTGCGCTTTCAATTTGAGTTAAATTTTAACATTTACAAAAATACGTCAAAATTTTAAATATTTTGAACATTATGAAAAACTTAAAACTTGCAGACTAGTTTTATTTAAATGTGTTTATTATTGTATGATATTAGTTTAATTTTTATGCGCATTTGTTTACTGTTTATTTTAATTTATAAATTGAACCATTATTTTCATTCGAGTGGATCTTTATCTTCCGATCTCGTATTTCGAGTCTTACACTTTATTTTCTAGCCTATTACAATTTCGTTGCTTAAATACACATCTACGGCGTTGTCTTAGTTAAATGCTTTGCAAATCGCCTAGCTTTGTGTAAATACAAATTTAAATTATGAATTTAATAGTCGCTTGGGGCCAAGTTTCAAACAAATAGCTGTGAGATGTAAATAAAGTTAGGGGCTTGATTTCGGTTACATGGAAATGTCACTTGAGGACATTAGCGCCATTCGGATAAGATTACGCTCCAGATAAGCGTTGGCTTAACGAGCGACACCCCGAAAGTCGGAGCATCGCTTAAGGAACATTTATACAGCTTTAGTGTCATGCCCAGAAGAACAACGCCCACATTCACTAAACTATGCTGCGTGCCAGTTTGTCTGGCCTCTGTCCTCTGTCATGCGGCAGTCTAGGAGCGAGGGGGCGTGGCCGTGGCATGTCAGAGTCCAAGTCAAGTGTCTGGCTTGCAGTGGACGCCAGAATCGGTATCGCCCTGATTGCCCCCATTGTCTGTTGTCACAGATTTCAGCTAACTTATCTATCAGAGCATTGTGCATGAGCGCAGCTATTAGATACAAGCACTGAGATACGCCACGGATATATATGAATGCAGCGGCATTTGCGATGTGAATCCAAACGCTTGACTGTGACAGTTATGACTTGAGCCACAGTGGCTGCCAGCAAGCGATCGACATGCACGCTCGTTGGCAGTGCTCCAATTATAAATGTGCATTTGATGGCCACTAAATTAGAGTGTAACCACAGCAAACGAATACAAAACACAGAAATAATAAACTCGTTAGTCTGCTGAGCACCGTTAGTCTCTTCGACTAGGAACTACCCTGGCTGTGCCCAAAGGCCTCTTATATGATATATATTTCTTGTACAGATTTGTTATGCATTAAAATATTTCTCTAATTGAAAAGATATGCACAGCAAAAGTGAATCTTATCATAGTAGAAAAGAAGGGGACACACAAACATTTCCATTTAATTTAATATAAATCAATAAAATAAAGTAAATAAAAGCAATTTATTTCCAGCTTAACATATCACTTTTTATCAATATCAAAGGCTAATTGTAGAGCGACAAATTAAAAGCCTTTTGCTAAATGCGATTGCAGTAATCTTCCTAAGTATGTCACATGCGTTTGCACAAATCAATTATACCCCCCTTTGTTTATAAGAAACAACAGCAACAAACTGTACCGTGAAGCAAAACTCAGTAAGCATAAGCCGTACAAACAAGGGGCACGCCAGGCAGTCGTAAAGACATCCGAAACACTTTGCAGTTCCCTCAGAAGCCATGTGCATTGCCTGGCACGAGGCACGAGGCACACTCGCACACACACACACACCACACATACACATACATGCGCGCACAGATGCACTGATATAGCGTATAATACGGGGTTTATCTTTGAGATAGTGGCACATGCATTACAAATGCGTTGGGGGCGCGTGCTCGACGGGAATAAATAAATTAATCTTGGCACGCAATTGTATTAACGTCCATCTATCTTCGGTCATCTGGGGCTCTTTAAGCGGTTGTGCGGTGCAATGAACAGTTTTTAAAGTGCGCTGAACTCGGTTCGTTCATTTTCACTTCAGGCAATTCAATTTGTGTATCTGCAAGATACAATAACAATGCAGCGGCGTCCAGTGTGCTGCTGCTGCTGCTGCTGCACTGCTGCAGCTGCGCCTTTTATTTTTTGGCACACAGAACTCAGCACATGTCATTGAGCAGATAGCGTAACAACTAACTACGTGCCAAGCAGCGGGCGCACCGACAAGAGGCCGGACGGACGAATGGACGGATGGACTGACTGACAGACAGACAGACAGCCAGCCAGGCAGCAGAGATAAACACGAGCAAGCAGCCCCAGCCCCAGCCTCAGCCTCATCTCATCTCTTCGCAAAGTTGCTTAAATATCTGCGCTTGCTTTTCCGTCAGTTTGGAATTTCTTGCATCGTTGTCGTTTACGTCAAGGGAAAATATTTTGCTTGTTTTCTTTTTTTGGACGACGCTGCCGGTATGCCTGTCTCCCAGCAGGAGCAGGAGCGCCAGCAACAGCAGCAACAACAACAAAAACTATGACAATACGAATTATTACAGGCGTCCAAATAAATATGCAAATGAAATGTTATATCTGGGTCAAGTGAAGCGCAACATTTACTTTTTTGCCGAGCTAGTATACAATATTCCTTATACTCTGTTCTTTTGCCTCTGCTCAATGCCCCACCCACTCAATTGGCCATGCCACATGCAGATACAGAGATAAAACCACAGACATTTCCTTTTTGCGCTGATGAGCACATCAATCCAAGCGACAAATTTTCCCATATGTACATATATATTTATATGTAATCGCATAAATTAATCAAGGACCATAAGCCGTCGTTAAAAAGTTTGTGGTCGCTCTCGTTGGTCTGCGCAGATAAATCAATTCCATCATATAATTGAATTGAAACTCTGACGAATTATTTATTTGTGTTTATGTATGCATGAACGAATCGAGTTATCAATATGAAACGAATCCTTCACAAATTGCCCGACTTTGACTAAGCAATTTAAATTTAATTTGCCAAATTATGACCAGAGCTAATCAATAGATGAATGTGATTAGCATTAGCCAAAAGAAGTTTTCACAGAAACAGAAACAGGGTATATCAGCGGCGGCAACTGCAGAAAGTTCTACTCGCGCCTGGTGAAATCATTTACAATATATAAACAGACATTTTGGAATCACTCTTATATACACTTCGCGTCATCAGGTTAGCGCCCCCCCTTACACTCATTTTCTTTTACGTTTTTCTCTTTGCCTATTGCACGCAACTTCTTGGTTTTTTTTTTATTTCATTATCATCATATGAGATGTCTCTCATACCAAAAAAAAGCGCAAAAAATAATCCCTATTGTTACAGTAGCCATTCTTTTTGTATTTTAAAGATAAATAAATGGAGTATAWTRWAAAAAAATTTYAAAGATGGAGCTCTGATRGTTTAGATTTTATTTAGCTTTGAGGTTGAGTGTAAAGGGGGGCGCTAACCTGATGACGCGCAGTGTATATAAGCATATGTATATATGCAAATACATACAGTCTCTTTTTCGATTAATAAATGAAATGTCTCTTGCGACAATTAAACCAAACAACTGGCAATTTTATATGTCAATAAGTCAAAATATCTTGGCCTCGACTGAACGTTCATTGTACGCATAATAAACCAAATAAACATAGACATTAATTGTGTTAAATAAATCAAGCAATTTATTGTCATTATTATTTTGGCACTGTCCATGCGCGCTGCAAAACACGCTGAAAATTTCTATTTTCACTTGGATGAAGGCAGAGGCGAAGGATTTGTCTGGAACTGAATTAAAAATACCTCAAGAAAAACTCTGATGCCTAACGGAATTAAAGTGAACAAAAAGAAAAGAAGAATGTATATACTATATGTATATAAATATGAGGTATATTAATAAAATATTGTGCACAAAAGAAAATAATAAAATAAAATAGAAAATATGCTTGCCCACTGGCTAAAAAGAAAAACAAGCGAAAAGACCAAAAACAAATAAAATAGCGAAAAGAGGAAGCAGAACGGGCAAGATATGTCAAGCATTTCCTTTCCTTGCACTAGAGTTGGCACACCAACACACACAAACACACAGCAGCACACACATACACCCACAATTGACGTGAAATAAGCGGCTGCTATATGCTGAAAAAAGTTTTTCTAGCCCTGAGTGAAACAGCAACAACAACAGCGCCATCATCCGCCTCTATGTGTGCATGTGTGCGTGTGCTTATGTTGGTGTTGGTGTGTTCGGAAAACAAGAATTTTACGCTCCGCTCTTTATGCCGGTGCAAAAAACTGCTATGAGCGAAATTTTCATTTTGAGTACACTGTATTGCTCTTGCCGGCATTTGTATACCCTGTAAAAGGCTAAAATATACCCTATTGTTATTATTTTTAATTGCATTTGGGACAGATATAGAAAAGAAACTTTGATATTTAAGTTCATTGATGTTGATTTCAAAACTTAAACCCAATTAGATTTTCACTTTGTTGAAAGCAGTATGATAAATAATCAACAATTTCTGTTTAATAAAATATTTAATATTTAGTGAAATATATAATTATATTACTTCGCTCTTTTCGGCAGCACGTCAAGTAAAAACTCAGAAACCAAAAGGCTTAAAAGTGTGACCGTAATTAATTTTTGTTACATGTGAGTACTTGACAGTGTTGGGCAACGATATTATATGTTCCAGGGATATTCCCACACACTTTAGCTATGCTAACAGCTAGCTTTTTGGCATTTAAAAAGCTAGCGCTCTAATTTGGAGATTCGATTCCGATGTCCCATTACCATATTCTTATATTAATATTATACTATAAAGTAAAAAAATTAATTAAATATGAATTTTATAGTAATACTACTATAATTATTATGAGTAGTCCTAATTGGACATGTGGACTTGGATTTGTGAGAATGGGAGCATACCTATGTAGCTCTTCCTACTTTCGCTTATTGCATGAAGGCAAATAATAAGGGATTGTTCAATTGAAACCAAGAGTGAGCGGTTTTACCTTTCTCATTTGATTTCGGGCACATGAAAACAAAATGCAAGTAAATATTTTAGACCTCATCAAAAAACACACATATCCCTAAAAATCTACTGAGTTTTACGCATTCGTAAAAAACTGATACTTTAGACGTCAGATATGTCTTACTCAATTTGACGAGAAACCCCGCTTTTTTAAACTTAACTAAATCATGAGAGAATATTAGTAAGTAAGAAATCAGATGATTTTTAAAAAATCACAGTAAATTTGAAGAATATCACAAAACGTTTCGGCCTACAATCGATAGAAATGAATGGAATATATAGAACCACAAACTCAATACATCTATCTACATATCTATACATTCATTCAATATATAGGATATCTTGCAGTTTGCCATCGATTCAATTAAGTGCAGTTGCTTGTTTGTGCTTGATGTTTTTCGAGCTTTTGTTGTTGTTTGCAATTTGAATTTTTAATGTGTGCGTTTTATAGTTTCGCGTTGGATTTCCACTTCAGTTATGAGCTGTTTACTGAGAAGTTGCAAATGAGGCTGGCTGGCTGGCTGCCTGGCATATGGGGCGGGAGCAGTTGCGGTGTTGGATAATAATCGCATTGTGTGTTTGAATTCGGCTATAATAGTTGGTCGCCCTTGCTGAGAATTGAATGCGTTCTCCACGTCTTTACTATGCCTCCACCCCGCTCTCTATTTCATTGTTTTTGTAGCCGCAGACATAGACGTAGACGTAGACGTCGCCGTAGATGTAGCCGTAGCTGTCTATGCCATTGCCATCGTCGCCTTTTGTTTGACACTTGAGTTGTGACATTGTTGCCATTGCCATTATTGTTGTTATTGCATTTGTTGTTGTCGTTATTGTTGTTGTTGTTGCTCTCGCTGCAGTTGTTATTCGTCTTGCTGTCCACGGATATTGCATTTGGCAGTCGGTTGACAAATAAATGTTGGGCCTAATTGCCATTTTGAGAATGTTTGAACAGCAGCGGAGGTTTCAGCATTGCCTGCACTGTCAGCAACGGCTAAAAGGCACTTTATAATGTATATGTATAGAGGACAAACAATGCAACGCATCCAATTAGTTCAAGATTAATCTGATGTTGGGCACAGGAAATGGGCTCAAGAACAAAGTTAATATTCAGAAATTATCCTCAAACATTGTTATATTCATTGAGCTCAACTATTATTGAATAATTTATAATTAGGCCTGGATGACTAGCAGCGAGCAGAGCAAATCAATTGTAAAATTCAGCATTTCCTACGGATTTTGAGGACGAGCACTGCGTATACACAATGTGAACAAAGACGATATATGCTTATTTAAATTGAACAAAGAAATATCGACTGATCAGACAGTTTGCCTTTTCGTCTACTCAATCTATCTTGCACAAATTCTCAACTTGCAGCGTTACAGATTTTTGGTAATTTGCACATTTTCTAAACAAGATACGGAAATGTTAGTTTCAATGCAGCCAAAGGCAGAAAAATGTGTGTGTGCATGTGAGTGAGTATGTGTGTGTGTGTGTGTGCACAGTATTTGTGTAGAAGACCATCGACAGCGACGTCGACTGTATTTAAAATCTCGTATCTCGTAAATGAGAAAAAATTAAAAGAAATTTTTAAAAATAACTTTCAGCTAACACGCAAGAGGAATTTTTATTCGAGCAGCAGACCCGACCAGCTACGAAAAGTAAAAGCGCCAGCGACAAAAACAAACCCAACTAAATAGCACACGAACGAGGAAGCAACTTCGCTCATCTCTCGAAGAATCAGGCTGGGGAGATGATGCTCGGGATAATGCCACGGTGCATAGATACACACAAACACTCACAAATACGGCACATGAAGATCCCTGTTGTCTGCGAACTTCATTATATATACACGTACATACACACATACATTCATAATTAGATACGCTATGCACTTTTCATATGTATGTAAATATTTACCTCGAAGGTGTATTTCTTTGCAGTTTGATTTCTTTTCTCGCTGTAGGTTTTATGATGTTGCCTGCAATTTTCATGACCAACACACCTACACACACACACGCACGCACACGATTACCCACAGATATGAATACGAATCACACGTCAATTTTCACATTTCTCCTTTTCGTCAAACATTTCAGAGAATTCTTCACTTAAATATTTCTCCATATATAGTATAAGACTTATGTGAATGCGCCTATATATACTATGGGCTATATTCCGAATAGTATATGTATCTCATTAGATATACATATACATGTACATATATATGTATATTATATATTTGTATATACTTCGCGCACTGGTCTTTGGGTCGCCGTTGTCGATTTGCCACCTTGTTCGCGTTGCTCTATCCGGTCGACTGGCTGCAGCTCTGAAAATTTTCCTCGATTTTCCCCAAATACTGAAAATGTTGAATTTCGCTCCTGCTACCCAATGCTGTTGCGGCATTGTTATCCTAAAAATAAACCCCTACATACATCTCGCTCTCTCTCTCTCTCTCTCTCTCTCTCTCTCTCTCTCTCTTTGTTTCTTTGGCACGATCGTAGCATTTGCATCGGATCTCTCTCGGATCTTGGCTCGCTCTCTCCGTTTCTCCTTCTATCGCGCACGATCTCTCATTTTTGTGTGTGGTGCGTTCTGCTCACGTGCGTCAGGGAGATCCGAAGCTTGGAGCGAGGCGCGTGCCATAGCGCGATGTGTGAAACGATCGCATCGAGATCATGATCGTGCATATAGATTGGATGTGGTGGGTCTATAAGCGAGGCGAGTGCGTTCTATGCATACGTAGTACATACATACACATGAGTAAGTACATATAGGCATACATAAATACATACATATATCTAAGTATATAATAGTGAAGTCTATAAACATTAAGGGTGTCTAGCAGAGAGAGAGAGAGAGAGAGAGAGATAGAGACAGAAACTATAAGTCGAGCACCAAATGGGCAATTGATTTATTTTGATATAATTTGCTTAATGCCGCACACAGATCAGCATTACGACTATATATATTCATATATACATACGTATGTGTATATATATGTTGGTAAATATTGCCGCCGGCACACTCAACGGTCATGCGTGTGTGTGAGATAGAGAGAGAGAGAGAGAGAGAGAGATATTTGTGTATGTATATGATGAGAATCTTTAATATGCAGCCACAAAAATATTTCTTAGAAAATGCAGAATAAGCAAATCGATTGCCGGTCAATTAACTTAAAATTAAATTTGACGCTTTATTTCGATTAGTTCTAAGAGATCTACTCATTTGGCTCTTGACTTTATATACACCAAATATCCAATTAAGCTTTATCTATATATATTCGATAGATTATTCCCTATTCGTCTCTTAGGATAAGTTGTCTAAAAAGAATGCACGACACTAATCCGTAAATATTTCGTTTAAAAAACAAAAACAAACAATAAACTAACTCATTCATTGGTTTATAGGGTATTATATAGGGTTTTCATTTTTGTATAGGCATTTTATTTATATTGAATATAAAGAAAGTTAAGCTTTTTATAATCAAAGCACGTAAGTTTATTTTTTGGTTGGCTGACATGTGATCAATGGCTAAGCCTTCAGAGACATATAACAAATTATCTATGGAATTGATTAATTGTTTTCACCAACTTTTCAATGACTTTTTCGCCCAGCTCAGATTGACAGCAATCGAAGGGGGCGGTGCCCTTGTGGTTATGGGTGCAAGGGAACAAGGAAGTTCATGCATGAGTAAAAATTTATATTTTTATGTTTATCCAGGGATGTGCGAATTAAGCAATGTTAAATTGATTATTCTTCATGCTAACAACAAACCAATGCATTGTGTATGGAATACTGAGTATCCCAGCGAGTTTACTTAGTCACAAATTCGAGGAATAAGTGGGAATGAAGCCAATGACACCGGAGATGTGTAATGTATATGTACATATGTATGTAAGTGATTTAATATACGCATGAATGATTTACAAACTCATACAAAAATATGATTGGAGACTCATTTAAATGGTTATTCATAACGGAGCTGTAGGTCATAAATAACTTCTTGAATCACTTTTATCAAACTCACAATCAAAGGGATCAAATGTATTTGAATATATATTCACTAAATGTTTTCATCAATTAAAGAAATAAAGTCTTTAGCTAGTTAGTAAACTCCAAGCTAATAAGCTTATAAATTAAAGAAATATATAAACATGCAAATAAATAATATAAAATAATAATCAAATATTAACTAGCTATAAATAAATTTAAATTAGATAAATAAATAGATTTAAATATAAACTAAATAAATAAATACCTTTTAAAGAAAAAATGTATTTAGAGTATAGTGATCTTAATTTACTATCTATCTACTATCTATATAATAAATAAGTTGATCAATTTAAATTCGATGCCTTCCAAATTGATTTTACTGAATTAATCCTATAAATATATATTTAAGCATATGCCTAATAACGGCTTCTCTATAGACTCCAGGTGTAAGCAACCACACTAAATCGGATTGCTGACGATTCTACGCATTGGCAAGTCAAATAACTGCAAGTCGTAGGCATGCCAGTTGCTGCACAAAATGAATCTGGGCTAAGCAAATGCAGAGGGCACAGCATAACGCACGTAATCCCATTCTTTAGTCTCTCTGCTGGCAGGCAGACATCCAAATTCCTTCTACTATTTATCAGGCAAACAACTGGGCATTACTCAATGCTTCATATCTCCAGCTGTGTGACCTCGGGCTACTCTACGAAAGAAGCCCAGAGCCGGGCAACATTAATCAGCAAAGTCAATCTTGTAAGCGCATACCAAAGACCCCTGGCATGTGTGTGTGTGTGTGAGTAAGAGAGAGTGTGTGCGTGTGTGTTGGGTATTTTCCCTATCTGTGAGCACAGCTGAAATGCTCTCAAGTAGTTCGCCGTGCTTGGATACTTATTTTGTGTGGCTCACATTTGCATATGCAAAAGTGTGCAAAATATTTCAAAGCTTATCAACGCTGGGCAAACACAGCATGATGATCATCATAATCATGGCAATAATGATGATTGTGTATGCATGTGGTGGCAGCAGCAAGGCCAATAGCATAGCTGAAATGCATTATAGGTATGCATAGCCTGTTAAATGCCTCCTCAAGCATTAAATATTACATTATGCCAAGTTTAGCACCTTTTAGTGGAAGCTAGCGCAAATATTTGCCAGGCAGCCTGCCAAGAATCAGCCGTCGACTATTTATCAAGTGCGCCAGGCAGACACCGACGACGACGACGCCTGGGCTGTCTGGYTGTGGCCCACTTCCGCTTCAGAGCGGTGAGCCTGGCAGGAAGCGCTGCAGAAATGGAGCACGGAATCGAATCGCTGCTTAGACGACGTATGCATGTATGTGTGTGACCGTAATTGGGGCCAGGGCACTAAGTCAGCCTTAACGGCATAAAGTGAGCTTATATAATTTCCGCACGCCTTTTGCCTTCTGCCTGTCAACGTGCCTGACTCTATATCAAATTCAAGCACACGCACGCCCACAAGTTCACACACACACACACACACCCACACACACAGGTGTATATATGTGTATATAACACAGTTACATGTGTAATGTATTTTTAAGAATGACCCACAGACCGATCGACCTACTTCTAGCCACGCCCACATTTTCGCCTGTGCAGCAGCGAAAAGGCCGTTAAGCTAAAACAAAGGAAAGCGCACAATTGCATGACTACAACAACAATATGGGGGTTGCCGTGCACCCACTGTGACGTGCACGTCAACGAATGGCCCCAAAAATAAACGCGACTTTTGCTGGAATTTTGCGCCAGCGACAACCGGAAATGTCAATTTTGGGCGTGCTGCTCACTTCTATATAAGTTTTATACTCGACACTATCATGCGTATGTGAGTGTATGTGTGTATGCGTGCATGTCTGCCCATAAATCAGCAACTTTCGCTTGCCCAAGTGCCCAAGTCTTTGCCATGGTCGGCACGCGTTTATTAAAAGCCTCGCTTAAGCAAATTTGAAAAGTTTTGCCCACAGATATAGCCCAGGTAATGCCCGCCCAATGGCGCCCCTCCCCACCCTTATTACCAGCCGCTACACCTTTACATTTCAATTCATTTCGTTTCATTTCATTTTGCTGCAATGCATGTGGCAAATTTGCCTCAACTTTCTGAATGGCGGCAGACAGGCTACAAAATGGCGCTTCGTCGCGTGTGTGTGGGTGTATGTGTGCGTGGGTGGGTGTTTGTATGCATGCATGCATTTACGTGTGCTGGCCATTTTCTCTGGCTGTTAATTGACTTTGCATGCTGCACAGAGAGTGTTAGTTATGCTGTCGCCTGTCGCCAGTCGCTGGAGTGACTCGAATCTCGCATTTTTTCTTGCGAACCGGCTAATGGCTGGTCCCACGTTGGGTGATAATTGAATTTTACTCTTACAATTGTACAGGGAGTGTAGCGAAAATTCTAAAGGGGGTAAGCACGCACACACACATACATTTTACAGCAATTTAATTGTGAACATAAAACCTAATCGTAAATCACTTCAGTTAGCTGATTGCATTATGTCAACTAAATAGATTATCTATGTCCGGGCGAATATTCCCTTGCATTGACAACATGATTACATAGATGTCAATGTTGATTACATATGAAACTGCTTTACAGAATCAAATTAGAATTTAATTTACAATCAGATATATTCAGCGCGGCATTAGAATAGAAATAGAAAATATACAATCATCTTCTCCGGTAATGTTGAATACTTTCTTTGTCATTATCTACTTATCTAGTCTTAGTCCAATTTAGGTTGAATTTTTGTATTATTATTTTTCAAAAATGAATTAAACAATTATCATTAAACTGGTAAATTGGTCAGCTATTCTGATTTGGAAATATAATTATATTTAGTAAAATCAAATTTGTGTTGATCTCGAGAAGAAATTTACTAGAGAATATATAGAGCCTTATGATTGGATGAAAAATCAAGGATAGAAACCTAGTTTGAATAGTCGGTTATCTGACAGAAAACTATTGTGAATTTTCTTGTAAATAACAAATTTGGCAGAAAGTAGTTAATGAACATTGACAAAAACATTCCATGTTTAATTTGTTTCAAAATGATGCGGAATCCATTTAATTTAAAGAATAAGATTAAAACAGAGCAAATTTAAAACAGATAGAACTATAGTTCGATTGGTATAGAATATATATGAATGAATTTTGAACATATGAACTATGCGCTATCCTGTTGACGTTGAATATATGTTATTACAAATAATAAATTTTGGGTAAACAAATTATAAACATTCACAAATTCTGTTTAAAATTCATGAATGTCACTATTAAGGTATTTGAATGAATTATCAATAATTG